TACTGCATATACAGACTGATTTTACTGTGGTGGGTTTAGTAACATTTTAAGTTCCAGACAGTTAAAACTGGGCAAATTGTATAAGTGCAACTAATTTTAACTGTCTGGAACTTAAGCTGATTCCCAGGTAGCAAGCTTAGTATACTTCCGACTGGCTAAATTCCTGGATAAGGACCTGGCTGGAATTTTAAGAGGAACCCATAATGTATTTTTTCTGCTTTTTTCGTGTTCTGTCCCTATAAAAAGAAAAAAAAAAAAAAACATATCTTGGGATTCCCCTTAGAAATCCAAATGGGCCTTTATCTATGCATGGAAACTGAGTTGCTAGGAAAGGAAGGGCAGTAAACACGCAGTTCCCCCTTCCTGTACCATACCAAGCCACAGACCTTTCAACAATCGGGGCTACCTTGCAGAAAATCCTTCCTCCCTTGCAAGGCACCATGTCCCAATATTTTGGGAAAAAGGCATCTTTCTCAACATCTTGTTCCCGCAAAAAAGTATGGGAGCCTTAGCAAAAGTGAAGAAATCTCAGTTTCAGTTTTTTCCTTCTGAAATAAATCAGTCTGATAAATAGACATTCAATTTACCCATTCCTGACCCTGAAATTCGCTCATGTTGAAATCCTGTTCTTAGAAAATATCTGAAAGACACAATACTTGAATGAGGGATGTGAACTTTACAAAGCAAAGATGTAACAAGTCAAGGTAACACCCAGTCTACAACAAGAAAAGAGCGAGTATCTGGCAGCTCGCCTCTAATATAGATACAAAAAAGGTGACCCCCTTTAGTAGTTTAATGCAGCTAACATGACATCACACATACATGCATAAGAATTTTTTTTATATACTTTATTGTACAAAAATATTATTAAAATATGAATTACAACTTAAAATCATACTGGTAGCTCTGATAACTGTTCCAGAACCCTTATAGGGCTCCAGCAATACAGTGTTCCCAAAGAAGTCCCTTCAATCATTTCAATTCAGGGGGCATAAAAACCAGAGGAATCTCTAGATGAATATTAAATTAAATATACAATATTTAATAGCATGTGGTTTAATTCAATTTAATTCAATTTATTTTTATATACTATAGCATCATTTTAGGAATATTAAGTGAAATAGGATTGCTAGGATTTGTAGTCCATTTTTGCATATTTGTCATACATGCTGTAATAAATATGATATTCTTTTGCATATTTGATCATAGATTATAGCAGTCTATGAACCATTTAAAAGTATTCATGAGATAGATATACTTATTTAATTTTATTGTGATGTGTTGTCTGCTGGCAGATTCTGGTGTAGCACTGTCAGGTCCTGATGTCAGTGTTGCATGGAGCTGCTTTACCCTGCCTTGTAGCATAAAAACATTTGGGTACCAATTATAGTGTGTTTACTTGTGAGCCACCAGGGTATACTAACAGAGGAGCATATATATTTTTCTAGATCGCTGGTTATTTTTGCACACTCTCTACAGGTATGCATTTGATATCAATTAATTCAATAATTACCGCGCTCTAATACTAATTAAAAAAAGTGCTCAGTGCTTGAAAAATAATATGAATAAATAAACAATTGATGATACCTTTAAAAAAATTGTAAATACTCCTATATATGTGCCAATTAATAAATCAAATAATAATTCATGATAAAAATAATATATAAAGTCCAAAAAATCCAAAAGGTATAAATGAAAAGTCCCAAGTGCAAAAAAGAAAGTGCTATAGTGTTCAAGTCAAATCAAATCAAATCATACTCTCCTTCCAACATATGGTTTGCTTCAATCCTACAGCTTTATAATTAGCCTGTGTGTCTGTGAGGGATGATCCCTCCTTTGATCCACTCTCTCCTTCTAATATGTGCTTCAATCCTGCAGCCTTGCAAGTAGCTTGTATACCTGTGAGGGATGATCCCTCCTTTGATCCACTCCTTGTTGTAACAGCCAAATGATGTTAAAAACATCAATAGCGCTTTTTGTATAGTAAACAACCTCTGCCTGCGGTGAAGGTCTGGCCAGAGGGTATGTACCCCACGCCGTCAGTACTCGCCGTATCAGATCTGTGGTGACATCACTGCCCCTCCCCAATGCGTTGCGCTACAGGGACTGCGTAGCATCATCCCCCAGACGAAGCTACGCAGTCCCTGTAGCGCAACGTGTTGGGGAGGGGCAGTGACGTCACCGCACATCTGATACGGCGAGTACTGACGGCGTGGGGTACATACCCTCTGGCCAGACCTTCACCGCAGGCAGTGGTTGTTTACTATACAAAAAGCGCTATTGATGTTTTTAACATCATTTGGCTGTTACAACAAGGAGTGGATAAAAGGAGGGATCATCCCTCACAGACACACAGGCTAATTATAAAGCTGCAGGATTGAAGCAAACCATATGTTGGAAGGAGAGTATGATTTGATTTGATTTGACTTGAACACTATAGCACTTTCTTTTTTGCACTTGGGACTTTTCATTTATACCTTTTGGATTTTTTGGACTTTATATATTATTTTTATCATGAATTATTATTTGATTTATTAATTGGCACATATATAGGAGTATTTACAATTTTTTAAAGGTATCATCAATTGTTGATTTATTCATATTATTTTTCAAGCACTGAGCACTTTTTTTAAATTAGTATTAGAGCGCGGTAATTATTGAATTATTTGGGGGTACCAATTGTTACAGGCTTGACAAAGATGAAATGCGTTGCCACCCCCTCACCTGACACATGATTCATCCAGAAGAAGTACATGTTAGCACAGAAAGTTGTTCCAGAGCAGTGGTTTTGAGCAGATTCTTACCAGCGAGTACTGGAGTGCTACTTGTGCTGGTACCACAGTCTGTGCCAAGTGCACCTCTTGGCCTGTACTTACCATGCTGGATACAAGTTGCTGGAATGTAACTACAACCTTTCAACCAGATTCCAAGCTGCTGTCCATTTTATCTTCTGTGTACTAGTGATGATTGGCCTGGATCTACAGGAGGAGCCTGCAGAAACCTGTTTACAGTTTACCATGGATTTTCATTATTAACCACTTGCCCTCCAGAGGATTTACCCCCCTTAATGACCAGGCCTCTTTTTGCTACTCGGCGCTGCACTAATTCAACTGATAATTGTGTGGTCATATAATGCAGTACCCAAATTAAATTTATGTCCTTTTTTTCACACAACTAGAGCTTTCTTTCGGTGGTATTTGATCACTTGTGCGCTTTTTATTTTTTGCTATAAACAAAAAAAAGACCGAAAATTTTGAAGAAAAATGCTATTTTTTACTTTCGGCTATAAAAAATATACAGTTAACCCAAAGTTAGTTATGAATTTAGGGCAAAATGTATTCTGCTACATGTGTTTGGTAAAAAAAATCCAAATAAGTGTATATTGATTGCTTTGTGTGAAAGTTATAGTGTCTACAAACTATGGTATAGATACTGCAATTTACGCCTTTTTTTGCTATACAGCTCTGCACTAGTTTAACTGACAATTGCGCGGTCATGCAATATGGTACATAAATGAAATGTATATCTTTTTTTCACACAAATAAAGCTTTCTTTTGGTGATATTTGATCACCTGTGTGCTTTTTATTTTTGGCGCTACAAACAAAAGAATTTTGAAAAAAAAACTATTTTTTAAAAAAAAAAAACATATATAAAATAAAAAATACACAAAAAAATAAAATTTTGGCATAAATTTAGGCCAAAATGTATTCTGCTCATGTTTTTGGTTAAAAAAATCCCAATAAGTCTATATTGATTGCTTTGTGTGCATGTTATAGCATCTACAAACTATGGTATAGATAATGGAATTTACACAGCTTTTACTTTCTGACTGCCCATCACATTTCTTGGTGCTAAAATACCAGGATAGTACAAACACCCCCAAATGTCCCCTTTTTGGAAAGTAGACACTCTAAGCTATCTGCTGAGAGGCATATTGAGTTGTGGGGAAGAGGCCCTTGTCCCCATCAGCATGCCTAGGGCACATGGCCTGGAAAGCCGCAGGAAGGGGGAGGGCACTTGTCCTCAGATCAAGGGTCTGGTAGGAATTCAGGGGGGACTCCATGTTTTTACCCCAATTTTTTGGGGGGTGGTTCCTCTTAAAAGTCCTACCAGGCCTAAAGGGCCTGGTATGTGTTTTAGGGGGAACCCCACGCACCCCCCCCATTTTTGAAAGGTAGTGTTCCCCTTAAAAGTCCTGCCAGGCCTAATGGGTCTTTTGAATTTCTTACTGTGGGGTCCCTCTTAACCTTCCCACCAGACCTAAAGGGTCTGGTATTGATTTGGAAGGGGGGGCCAGCGCTGTTTTTTTTTTTTTTCTTTAAAATACAAATGTCAATTTTTAAAAAAATTTCAGTCCTGCTGCAGTAGGTTCTATACATTGTACAGATGTGCAACTTTTCAGGTAGTTTAAGGGGACCCCCTCCCCCAGGCATAGTATTTAAAGGCATTTTTCTATTTTTTTTTCTTTTTACTTTAAGCAATGAAATATGACTGCCTGATTTTTTTTCTTCACCAATTCATGTCCCTCAGTGTGGTACCTGAATACCCATTCCCCTTTTATGGCCAATAACTTGCATATAAGCCTTCAAAATGGGCACTTTTGAATTTACAAGTTCGAGTCCCATAGACTTGCATTAAGTTCAAAGTTCTCAGTTGAACAATTATTAGGTTCAAATGTTTGACAGCGAACCGAACAGGGGGGTGTTCAGCCCATTACTAGTCTCTATAGTCCAGTAACACCTAACCCAATTCATTCAAGCTTCTGCTCTTCAACTGTCATTTTCTAATGTAAGTTTGAACAGGATTCGTGGACTGGAGTAAGGCTAACTATAGAACGGCAGATATCTCCCCAAAAATGATAGTTTGGGAGACATCTACTCACTGGGGGCTTATGCAGGTTCTCATATCACTTGTCCGATGGTGCACATTTGTACTTTTTTCCCTCTTCTTATTCAGGTTGAAGAATGCAGTTAAAGTGCTACTAAACCCAGGACCCTGCATTCACAATATCTAGTCTCCCACAGTACACACAACAGGGAAGTGCAATTATTTTAGTAAATATAAACTGCTAAATACTGTTTCTCATCAGCAGTATATAGCAGTTTTGTGACTTCTATCAGTGTCCAGCACAGCACATGTTCAAGCCTGTAGGAGGAGTTTTCATTTTGTTTTAGGAGAATTCAGAACCCCTGACCTCTGTCTGGACAGTGCTGATTGGTCCTGTGCTGATCACATGCACTCATACAAGACAAGAAAAAAAAACCTCTCAAGCAATACACACCAAACTGAGCATGTGCAGAATTACTCCACACGAAAGTCTTATCAGGAGATAAGAGGGGGGGACACTGGAAGAAAGGGAGAAGACAGGATCAAACAGCCTTTTTACACAATCCAGAGGATTAACCCTTTAGGTTCCACAGTAAGTGTAACAAGCATGCATTACTGAATGTACAGGCTGATTTTACTGTTGTGGGTTTAGTAACACTTTAATATTTCAGACCATAAAATATAACCTACAGGCAGTTATAAATGAAGTTATCAAACGCATGGAAGCATGGCTAATGATCAGAAAACCCCTCTTTGTGATGCAATAGAGGAATTTTCTAAGATTGTAAGCTCTAACAAGCAGGGCCCTCTGATTCCTCTTGTACCAAATTGTATTGTAACTGTAATGTCTACCTTCATTTTGTAAAGCGCTGCAGAAACTGTTGGCACTATATAAATCCTGTATAAGAATAATAAAAAACCTACTGCACTAAAAAGTTCTCACAACCACCATCCACAAATTTTAGGAAATACTCTCCCACTGACCCTTTGGTGCTCTGCATTAGACCTAACTACAAGGCATTTCAGAGAACTTATATAATAATTCATATAATTTGCATGACCTTTCTGATGTTGGTAAAGATACAGTGTTTGCTGAAATAAATTGGAAACTCAATGATTGTAAGACGCCACGTCACTCTTTCATAATTAAACCATGATTCTATCAATTAAATAAATAAAATACAGCATATGGTGGAGAAATAGAAAAAGATATGCATGGTTAAATTCCTTGTTCACAACCAATACACATGCGCCATAGTGATTGTGAAACAGCTGTTGTTTTAAAATGCATGAGCTTTTCTGACTAAAATAGGCAACAAAAGATTTGTCAGCACCATCAAGCACTTCATCTTTACTGCTTTAAAAGACCTTGTAAAACATGAACAGATATGATGGAGGTAAAATGCCATTATGGAAGTCCGACTGGCATAAAAAAATCAATAGGGAGGAAAATGTTATACATTGATTTTACTGTAGCATCATTTTTTAAATAAGAGACACTTAAACTATTCCAGCTCTGACAAACTGCTTAAAGCTACCATTTACGTTTTATGAAATATTAATTCTTTCATGGTGAATGTTGCACAACAAAGTAGCTTTAATACTGAGGGGAGGATTTATTTTAAGGTTTGTGTAGAGTACTTCTATTTTAAAATCTGTGGGTTGAATCTCATCGTGGTTGATTTAGAAATGTGCCTTCTTTTAGGTTATAACGCCATGATCTAAACTTTCACACAACAACCTATAGCAGTCTGCTTGTGGTCCAGAAACATATCCAAAGGATGACCAAGTGGAAATTCTAAAAATAGCCCAACACTGGTTCAAAACCAGCCAAATATTGCAAAAGTTGCTCCGCATATTAGCACAAGGGGGACAAGTATTTAAAAATGTATGAATTAAATTAATTGTATTTTTTTACTATTATTATTTTGATTATACAGGATTTATATAGAGCCAACAGTTTGTGCAGCGCTTTTATTATATACAGGATCAATATAGCGTCAACAGTTTGCACAGCGCTTTATTATTATACAGGATCTATATAGTGCCAACAGTTTGCGCAGCGCTTTATTATTATACAGGATCTATATAGTGCCAACAGTTTGCACAGCGCTTTATTATTATACAGGATCTATATAGTGCCAACAGTTTGCACAGCGCTTTATTATTATACAGGATCAATATAGCGCCAACAGTTTGCGCAGCGCTTTATTATTATACAGGATCTATATATTGCCAACAGTTTACACAGCGCTTTATTATTATACAGGATCTATATAGCGCCAACAGTTTGCACAGAGCTTTATTATCATACAGGATCTATAAAGCGCCAACAGTTTTCACAGCGCTTTATTATCATACAGGATCTATATAGCGCCAACAGTTTGCACAGCGCTTTATTATCATACAGGATCTATAAAGCACCAACAGTTTGCACAGTGCTGTATTATCATACATGATCTATATAGCAGCAACAGTTTGCACAGCTCTTTATTATTATACAGGATCTACATAGCGCCAACAGTCTGCACAGCGCTTTATTATCATACAGGGTCTATATAGCGCCAACAGTCTGCACAGCGCTTTATTATCATACAGGGTCTATATAGCGCCAACAGTTTGTACAGCGCTTCATTATCATACAGGATCTATATAGCGCCAACAGTTTCCACAGTGCTTTATTATCATACAGGATCTATATAGCGCCAACAGTTTGCACAGTGCTTTATTATCATACAGGATCTATATAGCGCCAACAGTTTGCACAGTGCTTTATTATTATACATGATTTATATAGCGCCAACAGTTTGCACAGCGCTTTATTATTATACAGGATCTATATAGCGCCAACAGTTTGCACATCACTTTACAATATAAAGGGAGACAGCACAATTACAATATAGTACAGAAGGAATAGGAGGGCCCTGGTCATTGCGCTATAAACAAAAAGACTGACAATTTTGAAAAAAGAACAAACAAAAAACACAATATTTTTGACTTTTTGCTATAAAACATAGCCAATTAAAAAATAAAATTTTGTCATAAATGTAGGCCAAAATGTATTCTGCTACATGTCTTTGCTAAAAAAAATATCCCAATAAGTGTATATTAATTGGTTTAGATGAAAGTTATAGCATCTACAAATAACGGTATTTATACTGGAATTTTTAATTTATTTATTTTTTATATTAGTAATGGCGACGATCAGCAACTTATGGCAGAACTGCACGACTGTGGCGAGTATCCTGACACTGGGTGGGAAATGACTAACTGCCACTGGCATCTCCAGTGACACTAATACAGTGATCAGTGCTAATAAAAAGCACTGTCACTGTACTAATGACACTGGGCAGGAAGGGTTTAACATCTGGGATGATCAAAGAGTTAACTGTGTGTTAGGGAGTGATTTTATTGTGTATGTGTTGTGTTTTACTAAGCAGACCTGCTGCCTTCTATCTCTCTGCTGTGTAGAGAGATAGAAAGTAGCATGCCAATGTTGACAGGAGACAGGTCTATGTTGTTTACACACAGATCTCTCCCTTCTCAGCTTTGCCGACAATCACCAAGTCCTGGACTAAAATCGCTGGTCGGGACCCGGTGATTGACATGCTCAGGAGCCAATAGCAGCACAGGCCCCCTACCTGGAAATGCAAGATCACGTATATTTACGTGATTTTGCCCAGCGAAGCCATCCTGTAGCAGTACATCTGCTATTGGGCGGTGGACAAGTGGTTAAAATTAAAAAGTTAACTTGCCTACTACATAATACATAATTGAGGCAGCAGAGAGGCCGGGCCTTACCACCCACACACTGCACCTATGCATTCATGGCTGCAAGTCCCAATCTCTGTTTATTCTCTGTTGAATGGGCTCCCAATGATTTGACCACTGTGACAGCCAATCACAGGGTTCACATGATCAAACAGATTTCCCCACCTCCTGAAATTAAAGTAGAACTATAGCTGTTTTTTTTTACCATTTTGGATAGAGCATGGGAGGGTTATAATCCCTATCAGATCCCCCCCCCCCCCCCCCCCATCTGTGTCCCATTGAGGAGATTTACCTTCACTTCCTGTCCCATAGCCAAACAGGAAGTTAGAGAAAATCCCTGCAAATTAAGGGAATTCCTTGGGGACCCCCAGGTCACCAGAACTAGTGTCCCCAATGGAAGATATCCCCTCTATTACTTTTCTGGGGACAACCCAAAATATTCTTTTACTTTCACTTTCAATAATAATGTTAAATAGGACAAATAGAGAGGGTGTATCTCCTTAATGTGCTGCTGTCCAAAGGTGTCTGCTTCCCTACTTCATCCAGAATATAGACACCCTAATGCTCCATGCACACCAGCGTTTTTTTTTAAGCTCAAAAACCGCTGGATAAAAAACGTTGGTAATAGCAATTTTAGTAGCGTTTAGAAGCATTTAGGAGCATTTAGGAGCATTAGATTTTTATTAGTGTTTTTACAGTACATTTAGAAAAAAGCTTTTAGGAACATTTTAGTAGCGTTTAGTAGCTTTTATAAGCATTTAGGAGCATTTAGCATTTTGTTCTGCTGCAAAAACGCTCCAAAAAACTATTTTTTTCTGTTCCTAGACTCTGGAGGAAAAGAAACGCTAATAGCCTAAAGTAGTGTGCATGAACACATAAGATAACACTATTTAACTTCCAGGAGCAGAAAAAATGCTAATAACAGCTTCAAGGAGCTTAAAAAAATGCTAGTGTGCGTGGAGCCTAATAAAGAAAGTGTGTGACTGGCAGGATCACCAGGTGAAATAAAGGAAAAAAGCCTAAAAAATAAAGAAAAGTACATCTAAGGATTGGTAAGCTGCAATATATTACATTTTTGTTTGGGGTTTATTACTGCTTTCAGGTACTCAGTGAAAACTGTACTAGATAGAATGTACTCTTCCTATTTATATGAATGTCTTTAAATAAACTTTTTTTTTGGCCACACCTGCCTAATTAGCCTTCATGCACACTTGACATTTTGATAATGCTGGTAATGTTGGCTGTGTAAAGTCACATTAAAAATGTGAGTTTTTCATCTTTTTTTAAGCGTTTTTGCATTAGCGTTTGGTGGCGTTTTCCCACGTTTTTCCACGTTTGCGTGTTTTTTTACCAAAAAAAATGTTTTTTGTTTGGTCAAAAAAAGTCCAATAAACGCCTGTATGTGGCGTTTTATCATGTTTTTCAGTGTTATTCAGTGTTAGAGAGTTTTTACAGCTAAAAAACGTTGATTACAGTCTAGGGGTGCATGGACACATAGGATAACATGTTGGGGGGTTTACTAGCTGTAGAAAAAAACGTCAAAAACCAAAAACAGGCGCTGTAAAAACATCTAGTGTGCATGAGGACTTACGGAGAACTACCTTTGCTTCCTATCTGTAGACTAAACAGGAAATTCTCTTAAAAATTAGGTAAATGTTCTCATAGACAATTGTCTTGACAACGTATGTCCCCTTTGGAAGATTTCCCTATATTTCTGTTAACAGCACAAACAAAATTGAGTTTTATCTATCAGATGTGAGTATCAGTAACAGTAAGGCAGGCCATGCATTGTACATTTATTTTGTTCAACCCACAAGAAAAATGTGCTGATTCCCTCCATCCAAACATTTGATGTGGATGGGGGAATCATTCTTGCTGTGC